TCTTTCTTTCTTTCTTTCTTTCTTTCTTTCTTTCTTTCTTTCTTTCTACAATCTTGTGGATGTGCATACTTCTGAGCTGTTGTCGCTCTATTTGTTATAACTTTTATACAAATATAACAGAAGAAAGTAAAAAATTAAACATTGCAACTCGCTAAAGTCTCAGCAGAGGTCCTGAGCTTGTTCCACTAAAATGAAAAAGTCCTAGTTGTGCGTTTTAACATGATGAACGCGCCTGGCCACGGGGCCCAGTGCTGGTCTCTGGCTCAGTGGTTCGGGAACCCATTTGGAAATGCGATAGCTTGTCATCTAATTATCTTCAAATCAGTCAAGTCTTGGAGGTGAACCAGGAGGCGTATTAAGATATGGCTCCGATTGAGCTGTCCTCGACCGCTTGTGTTACAGGCAGAATCTAAATGGCCCGTTTTACATAATCCACGTTTAAACTGTGAGCGGTTACGGTAACGGCTTCACTCGTTCCCCGCTAACAAGTTCCAGATGACAGCTCCGGGTCATGTCAGGGTCTGGATGTGTTAAACCAGGTCCTCACTCAGGTCTCTGCCGATTGCCCCTCTTCATGATCTTCCCTTCTCCCCGACCTCGGAGTCTTTCTTTCACTCGTGTGACATCCGATCGCCCCTCGCTGCAACCAGATGCCCGCCTGCCCCTATTTTCACCACCGACGGTGTGCGCCGGTCACCGGACACGCACGTATCAAGTAAACCCAATGGAAACCAAGTCCCTGTGAGCTATTGGTAGAAGAGAAAAGGAGGGAAAGAGTTCAATCCCAGCCTCACAGACCGTGAAAACAATATCACCTGACAGCCCAAATCAGATGCATTATTTAAAACTCGAATTCTGGGCTGATAAATTGGGTTAAATGTGTTTTTCTCTAGATACCTAATGCAACGGGATACTCAGAAGAAAAAAAAAAGACAAAAATCCCCAGAAGCGAATGGGCTGAATCTCTGGAACAAAAAAAATTATTTAAACCCTTTAGTCGTCCATTCCTCTTTTTGTTTCATTCCCTGCCAACATTTATTTTTTTCCGTCTCTTGTTTTTACCGTCTTCCTCTCAGCAAGACGGCTACCTTTGGTATTTGCTCTCCGTGCGCATCATTTGCCAAGGCCAAAACTCGGTCCCCCTCCCTCCTGCAGCTTATCAAAACACACTCAGGAGAGAAAGATTCCTCTCCGAGTGAAAACCGCTGTTTTGATGTGCGCCAGTGGTGAACACACTGCCTCTCTTTTTGCAGTGTGCCCCCCCCCCCTCCGTTGCAAACACTCATATTTCTGCAGTCTTCTCTCTGTTGCCATGACGTTTCACTGCTATTACAGCAGTGCAGTAGGAGAGCTGGGATGTCTCTTGATCCTTCTCTCACCAGTGGGGCAGATTATTTTGGACCCAAAAAAAAATCAAGCTCTAGTGTTTTAAATCGATGCCATTTCAATCGGCCGCATTTAAACTCCACTGCCATTTACATAACATTGACACGTTCCTTTCATTAGGCAGCTCGCGTGGCGGTATGAGGTGAAAACAGCAGTTTCTGGCCAATTAATTCCACCCAGAGTCTTTTTACCCCTTTTGCTCTGAGAAAAAAAAAAAATCCAAAGAATCTCACATTTACTCACTGGTGGTACTTTCAGCTTTCCCTATGCAACGATTGACCAATTCAAACAATTTTTAATACGATTACAGCAAAGGGAGGATTAGTGACGTAACAGCGACTGATAACCTTCACTGTCATTTCAAAGTCTTACAGTTTGGCAAATATAAGATAGGCAACATGAATTATTACATCTAACCAAAACGGAGAGGCAGTAGGTTAGAAACTACATCCTCCTTTCCCGATTCTGGAGTATTTACAAAGCAAAGGAACAGCCCCGGTGTTGCTTATCAAACTCTTTATAGACTTTATGTTAAATGTTAAAGTCCAGGGAAGTACAGTCGGAGCTGAAAGACCTCAGAGAGGCTGCAGGAGAAAGTGTCGTCCCTCCAAAAAGAACATTCTGTCTCTAATCCGTAAGTGCTGGATTGGCCTGCCTGCAGTTAAGCTTTTCTTAACTGAAACACTGTGCGCATGTCGGAAAAAGAAGAAACTAGAATTCCTCATCAGAGAAGAAGGAAATAACATGTTTTTTTTTTTTACTTTTTACATTAAAAGCGATGAGGAAACCACTCATTGGTAAAAATGACCACGTCCCAACCAGTTTCAGACATGTTGTCATCATGTAACCAGAATTTATTTATAAGTATAAACAGTGCGCTGTCAAAGTTTTAACTAAATGCAATTTACACATCATCTCAATAGCTTTCGCTCAGGATTGTGACAGGAAACAAGCAAATGTACCAGAGGAGAAGTTAGCTTTTCCTCTGGGTCTTAAAGAAGTGGTCATAAGTAAGTTGTGAAGTGCTGATGAATCACCTGCTATGGAGCCCCTTAGAAGGGGGTCACAGAATCAGAATGGGGAAGTTTAGCCACTTAAGCCAAACCTCAAAGTGACCACTAGTCTGAGCTCCCAAGGAAGTGTATCAAACTTGATGAGGATTAATTTTTCCAAGATTCCTAAAAGATATGAAGCTCTTTCAAGCTTTAGGTTCTTCTTTTTTTTTTTTACCCATTGTTGAGTAAAACGGAATTGAACCGAAAGCTCATCGCAAAGCTGGAAATGCAAACGCTGCTCAGTAGGAGATTCCTCCGACACGGTGACATGATGTGGGAGGAGGTTTCCGTATGACGGCCGGTTTGGCTCGTCTGGGAAGGCTCCTCAGTTTGCGAGCTCGGCCGCCTTTTCCCTCTTTGATCCGACAAACTGCGGCTCTGTGCAAATAAATAAACCATTTTTACGTATGGGACTTATTACTTTTTTTGGTTGGTTACGATGTAAAATCAGATTCTTTTCCCTTTTTTTTAAACTTTATTTCTTTTTAAACCGCCCAACATCTCCACCAGTGCCCCCGTGCCTGTCATATGAATTTCTTCTATCCCAGCAGTTTGTCTCTTTCCGTCTCCCTCACCCTCTTTCTGTCTCCCTGCCACCAGACACACACTGTAGGCGCTGGCAGTCCTCGGACATTTGCTCGTCTCTACTTACAACGCTGGCCTGCGTTTGGCCGCTGACCCCATGGCCTTTTTTTTTTTCCCTCTCTTTTGCACGTGTGCACACATGTCTTAACGTAAAAAAATAAATTAAATGAAATGAAATCAACACATCAGCAGACACGTGCACTCATGCATGCTTGAAGACAGCACAGAGACAGATCCGCGCACGCACGCCATGGCGTAATCTAAATTATTGGCAGGGGCTGGAGTGACAAGCCTCTCTTCACCCACTCATTCACGCTTCGGTGGAGAATTTGTTATGCATGGGCCATTTACTACATGGAGTTTAAAGGGCAATAAGGACAGCGTTAAGCAGGGAAACAAGCATTCAGTACACAATCTCACACGGAAAAACACATGTACACATCTCTTTTTGTTTGGTTTGCCATCAAACACCCAGAAAATATGGAAATGGGCCTCTGTTCTTCTGACTTAGAGGCAGTTTGTGGACTTTAATGCTAACACCAGGGAGGCATCAGAATGTAAGAATGGCTTTTTGCAAATGATGAGGAAGTTACAGTAAGGAGAGGAGCAAGGTTGAAGTTTGATCCGTTCACATTTGTAAAAGGCATGTTTGACATAGTGATCGGAACATTTCGTTATGTTTCCATCTGGAAAAGCAAAAAAAAAAAAAAATGAAAAAAACGCAGAAAACTGGGGATAGCTACCTGGACCCATAAGACGAATGTGTTCTCGATAGAGCGGTCGTAAAGAGGGACTGTGACGGAGAGACAGCAGAGGTTAGTGAGGGTTAACTAATCGCGGGTGGGAGCATGGTGCAAGACGAATGGGGCATTTTATGAGGTGCGGAAGCCAACTGATGGCTTTCGAGCGGCTCCCATCGTCCTCCGCTTCTCCTCCCAATCCGCCAGGATGTGTTTTCTGAGCAGATTGAGTCTATAAGGCTGCGAACGCCGGTTGGCACGGCCTGTCACACAAACAGATGTATTCACAGTGTGTGCCAAAGCGCTAGTGTTATTAATAAAATGAGGACAGCCGGGGCTTAAAATTACAACAGCGAAAACGCTTAAATGCTTGATTGTTTCATACGGCCGTTATGCTTAACACATCATTAAACCCGCTATCCCCACAGGGTCTGCTGTCGAACTCTGAATCTATTCTGGCTACACGAATCAGTTCAAGTATGTTTCACCTGTTAACAATTAGATGTAGCTAATAGCACGCCTGGATTTCCTCATAAAATGCCAGGAGCCTCTCACTGAGGGCGGAAAGAGAAGCACCATCTCTCTATCCTTGATTGTCCTTAATAGTTATTTCACTGTAATAATTTCACTTCCGTTTGGGATGACTAAACTAGTAAATCCCAATCTAATTTTAATGTTTTTTATGTTGAAATGATCACACAACATGTACATAAGTCAAATTTAGGTATTGATTTCAATTAGAATAGATTAGAGTCAGATTACTCTCAGAAAAAAAAGAATAGTCTCTCCAATATTTAAAAAATTGCTGTGTTTGATTCAGTGTTGTTCTTGACTGTGATGAATGAATAGGGATCCAGGTTTCTGTTACAACTTGTAAGAAAGAGAAGATCAATGGATAGACCTTCAAAATATACAAAATGCTTTGTTGGATTGTGTTTGTCGTATTGAGGAAGACTCAATTTGCGCTTCGGAAAAAAGGAAAATCCTTGGGAAACCTGCTAAATTTAAACTGGCATGACCCAAAAGCTGTTTCCGGTTTTATACGACCGGTGTTTCCTAAACCATCTTAACAAGGTTAAGTTAATTCATTTTCACTCTTGTCCTATTGCGTTGTTTACTTGCGTGCTGATATTTGTCTGTGGTTCAAACCTACTTCTTATACTGAATTAACTCTTCACAAAGTATGCTACTCTGCCAAATTCTGGTAGATTGACCAATCGTTTGATTTGCTAAACTAGAGACTGGAAACTAAGGTTTCTCGTCAGAGGGTGCAGGTATTGTGGATAGATTTCCAATCATGGAAAAACATTTTGGAGCAACTTCATAGAGAGTCATCTTGGAATGTAAAAATGTATGTTTGTGGGACTTCCTATAACAATATTCTATGGATACTAAAGTCTTGTTTTTTTTCTCCCCAGCTGGCGTCCACTAACTCTGCCAACAGCAGCCAGACGACTGCATCTGACAATAAAGGTATGATTCAACACAAGTTCACCATCTTAGATATTCGTTTGAGATTCTGAGGGTTTGCAACCTTTAACTTTGGGAGCTTCCGTTTTCCTCCCTGCAGAATGAGGATTGTTAAGAACAGAAAACAACTTTGAGAGGATGGAAACCAAACCAGCGGAAGTAATTGATGGAAGGTTAATAGGAGGTTAATTTCCAACACTAATTGAAGCCTCAATTAGTTATGCCTTCATTATCTGTCAAGGAAATTAAAATGAGCTAACCAACCAAACAGAGACAGTATTTTGGACCAGAATCAGCAGGATGTCAGCTAGAACAAGTTGCCTTTATACTCTTTGTATGTATTACGTTCAAATGAATAAGAACCCCGAGTTTGACATCTAGCAATACAGCAAGAGCAGAATGTGTTTGTCCTACATTCTGTAAAGCTCGTCATTACATCAGAAGCTAAGGCCTCCATTGTATTTCACCTCTACGTGCTACCCCACCATCCCTCAAAATCTCATCTGCCTGTCTTGTCACCTCTGCCTTTTCTGTCTCAATGCACCTGAGATGAATTGTGCATGAGGATTATCTAATTCCATCTCGAAGGCGAGGTTGGGATGCTGAAAATACCTGCAGTACCTTGCAACTGATAGAATGTAAAGTGAAATAACTATGGTACTCTATCTCCTGCTTTTTTATTGTTTTAGTAGGGTGCAAATGAATATTACAGGTGAAGCTAGTATCGTCTTCTTTTCTACATTTGAGACTATTCAGTTGGTTGTTGTCTGCAACTTAAGTCTTAAGCCAAATCAGACATGTGATCAAATCGAATCTTATTATTTCGGTGTGTTTTTTGGTGGATGACGATGCCACAATGAGATTACAGCTAATAAACTACAATCCTTTTGATTAGCCATGGTTGACCTGAGAAATTCCTAGAAATGTCCAACCCTGCTTCATGCCGTGCAGCAAGGTTGACCTCCTCTATGGGGGCCAGCAAAGTGATCGTCTCATGATGATGATTCAATAATCCAAAAAGAGTGATGGAACTGTTTGTCAGTTCGGTTAATCAAATCAACTGTTCTTTTGTGTTTTTGTGAAAGTCGGACAAACTAGTCTCCGGCTTTTAAAGTGACTCTACACCAAACATTTGCATGGTCCAGCCATCACTGCAGATTTTCTAAAGGAAAGAGCTGCAAATGCACATATTCATAAATGCTGAAACTAACATTTTCACGTCTTTACATGGATATTATTTAAACTACAATCAAACTTGTGACAAAGATATATTTTCCAATTCAAAGCTTTCGGGATTGCCGTTTGGAAACGCCCAAAGCTTCAATGCACAGCTTTGCCAGTTGGAGCTTTATCGCGGTTAAGCTTGCACTTCAGTGAATAATCTCAGATTATTTTTTCCTATGTTTTGGTCTGTTTGGGATTGCGTTGGTATTGTATATATTGCCAGTAATATTCTACTCTTTTTCTTTAAGCACTCATATACTGATTTGCCTGATAATCAAGCTCTGAGATTTTTGGGTCAACCTTATACAACTGCTTCTAAAGAATTTAAAATCAGCCATGCATTTTTACCCAGCATTAGTACAGGGCATGTAATTTAATCTGTGACAGTGTGCTGCACAATATTTCAGAGGGCTGCACAGTATTGTTGCGTGCTCTTTATTTTTGTCCTCAAAAATCTTTTTACCCGGAGTAAACAGAGCTGCCAGATGCACAATATTTTCTTTGTAAATGCGCCAAATGCCAAACATCGAGAGTAAATATCGGATGTTTCTACTGTTCGTAAGGTTCTAATCATTATGACTGATCTTAAGAATTTTGACTCAATTCAAAGTTAACATGAGAAACTTGTGCTACAATAAAAAAGGATCAGGATCACTAAATAATTCCCTAAATTGATCTCAATCAACAACAACAATGCTAATACTGGATCGGTACAAATGGAGAACCTCCTGATCCTCATGGTTCTTATAAAGACCAGTGAGCGGTGTTGACCAACATTTCTTTGGGGTCATCAGGTGGGAACCTCCTTTCATCAGCTTTTTGTCTATCTCCAGACATACCATCCCACAAACCTCAGACTACAATTGTAGCGACTGCCATTAAAGATTAGTTTATTTAGCTTATCGGACAAGGACCTTGTGCAACAAATTTTATAGACTGTGGGTTTTATATTTCCAATAGCATATTAAGACAATTTAAAGTAATGGAAAAATCTAATAAAACAATTACAGGACAGAAAGAGCTTATTTGAAAATATATGTCCTGAAATGGTGAAGCATAGTCTTTTACTTTGTGTACTTTTTTACGTACTTCTCCTCATCACATGCTCATTAATGCTGGAGGAGGACTTAATGATATAATATTTTTTTATTTAATTTAACAATAAGCACAGACTTGTGCTTTTCGGCCCAGAATATTCTAATTAGATTAGGCAACGACATTTCAAGGAAATATTGATGGGAACTGAGTGCTTAGAGGAGCAAAGACAAAGCCCTGAACTGTGCAGAGCTTCCATTTTACTCCTTTTAGAGCACAGCAAAACTGTCAAACTGATCAAAGATTTTTAGAGCTAGTCCCTGCGGATGACCACTGAATTCAATAAAAGTGTGTTTATTATCACAAACTGGATGCTGATGCTTATTGAAATAAGAGAAAAATGTTATTGTTTCATGAGCTTTTTTTCTTTTTTTTTCTTAGTGTTATTATTTCATAGCCCAAAAAAATACAGGTTTAGTAAAAAAAAAACTAAAAAAACAGGAGCATCAGAAACTGAATTACAATATAAACAGACTGGTCACTGTATTAACCTTCACGTTTTTACCTCTGCCCCCCCTCCCACACAGAAAAGGCATCGGCAGCCAAGCCTCAGGAACAGGAGGAAGAGATCGACATCGACCTGGAGGCGCCGGAAACAGAGAAGGCAGCGCTCGCCATCCAGAACCAATTCAGGCGCTTCCAGAAGAAAAAGAAGTAGAGTGACTGATTAAAACTGGAAAAAAAATTATGAACAAGTAAAAAAAAAGAAACGAAAAAAAAAAAAATCGGAAATTATCATTTAAACTGATGTACAGATATCCAATCAATGATGGCGAGTGGTTCTGAGAGCTGAGGCAGGGCGAAGTCTTAGGGATTTCTGGTTCAGGATTTATCGTCATATTATGCAAATTGTCATGAAAACGCCTTTTTGCATGACAGATGGGCTGTTATTGAGCATAAGGAAGTCGGTGGGCTGAGAAAACAAGAAAAATAAGAGGGGGGGAAAAAAACATGCAGATTTGGAATTTATAACCTAGCATGATGAAATACTGTAATCTCCTGTCACAACATTAACCTTTGCGAACGTCCTCACACACCAGACGTGTGTCTCCCCAACACGAACCCCCTCACCCCTTTTAGCCCCCTCTTCCTGCAGACTATACTCAGCGGGCGGGGAAACGGCCTGCTGTTGACTGACATAACAAGCACACGTCCTTCAACATTAATGAAACGAGAGCGCACAAAAAGAGAATAGAAGCACACTGATTAGTTCCTTGGTTCTTTTCTTCCTGCTTCCTCTGCCGTCACAAGGCTTTCTTTCCTCGTCTGCCTGACTCTGAAAGGACGAAAATAACACCGGCTGTCTCAGGTGCAAAAGCGCCTCTTGTGCTGGGCAGATATTGGATAGCCGATGTGTGCCAGTCTGATCTCACAGGTGACGAGGGCGGTGGTCATGGAAACTGGCTGTGCTCGGTTAGAGGCAATTTGCTGCAGGCGGGCTCGGTAAGCGATGGAAAGTACAGGCGCCCCGTGCCCACAAAAGTGATTAATAGCACGCATTGTAGCTAATGACTGACATGTAAGTGATAGAGTGGTTATGTGTCAACGACTACTGAAACTTTTAACAGTCTTTCGGTAACACGCGATGCGGTTTGCTGGGGAGCTCTGGACGATCGGAAAGTCATTCAAATATTCATACCTGCTGATTGGAAATGACCATACAAGTGGCTTTAAATGGGAAATGGTGTTGTTGAATCTGACATGGCATCAATTATGATCAAAATGTCAGATGTTAGCCAGCAAAAAAGCCAATGATTGCTACATAACTAATATCAAATGGCTTTGTTTCTTAGTAAAGCATGCCCAAAACCTATGCCTATGTCAAAGCCTTTTCCAAAATTGGTCAAAACCAACAAAGTCCGTCATCTTTCCTTGAATATATTCAAGTGAACCAGGAGCTGCAAGAGTTGGGTCTGTACAGTGTACGGTCCTGATCTTTTTAAGTCTGAAGTGCAGCACGAATGTCTATAGATACCAGGCCTGAAGTCACTGATACAGGAAGACATTTGTCCATCGATACAACAGGGATCGAGTTACCCCTCCATGAGTCACACTCCCAACATTTAAATTATATCGCCTGTGGCTGAGAGCTTTCAGTCATTCTCGGTGTTGGGTTTCTCAGTGCCTCTGTAGGTAACTGAGACCCCTGCGTCCTTAAATAAACACTTGATAATGATTGAGCGCAGACACTGGCCATGAACCCGAGTCCTTGTCACCTTGACGTCAGCTGTTGAGCAGAGTTGGAAAGAAAGCCACTCAACAAGAATGAGAAAGAATTTACCAAAAAAACGCACGTATAAGCACATGGTACAAATGACTCAACCCTATAAAACACATGTATATACATATAATGGAACAACAGATACATTCCTAATTGCTGTCCTAACCCTTCTTCCCGTTCAGTGTATGTAGCTCAGTGAACTGCTTCTGAAAAGCCTGACTTTCTCTCCATTGCTTTAAGAATAATCTCACTAATTAATAGAATTATTATTGGAATGTAACCTCCTTTCTATTTTGAGGACAGAAAGCGGCCACTCTTCTCCATCATTGTCCCACTCTTTCTATCTTCCTTCAGCGTAAAGGAGAATTGCTGATGACATCATCTGAGTTTGATATCACTCCCTCCCTCTCGCCCCTAACTGGATCTGACATGGTTTTGAAAGTGTTACTTTAAATACGCGTGGGACTATAGATTTATATGGATTTGATTTAGAAGGCAAGCTGAACACCAGCATCAGGTAAGAAGCTCAATATTTTGCAAGGTTAAAATGCACCCAGAGTAGATACAGATCGGTCGAACCGATGGAGCACAGCCAATCAATGGGGCCTTTATACGTCAAGCTAACAACTGGTGGTCAAGTATGTCTGGATCTTTGTTGATTGCCTTTCTGACATTTCTTTGCTGTATAACCCAACATCTGCTCTGAGCATGTTTGATCAGCATGGAGTTTGTCAGAGAAATCAGTAGGGCTGGCAATAAAATCTCTCATATTAGCCACTTTCCACAACCAACAACCCAAGCTTGGCCAATAGCACAACCATGTGAAAATCTTACTAGTCCTTGAACTGCACAGAAACTTCTACGGGGAGGGAGCCGCAACGGTTTTAAGAATAAGTAACACTGTTTTGACTCTTTTATTTTTTTCAAATCCTCACCTGCATCGCAATGAGCTGCATCTCGACATCTGGGCAATGCTGCTAGCTCTCGTCAGTTGGGTCAAAAATAGGTCAGAGACTACAGAAAGCAGACAGGTTCAAGCCCTGACTAATGAAACTTAGTAAAGAGTAACACCATCTGGGACTTCTCACTGTGGAGTGCGACTTCGGATCAGTGTGGGCGTCTCTCGGGGTAGGCTCCAGGCTAACCCTAACCCTACCAGGAAAAAGCATTACGGACAATGGCTGGATTTGAAGTCGGGAGTTCGGTGAAATTCAGGGCAACTAGAGGTGACTTCTAGAGAAGAGGGCCAAGGTTCGATTCCCCACTCTGCCGCCATGGTTCTTTTGGCCTTAAGTGGTACTTTTACAAGTGGGGGTTTGAAAGGAGTTTGGTGTGAATTCAAGATGAAATGCTGACAAGTGACAACTCTAGCTAAACCATCGTCAGCACAGTTCTCTGTGACCAGTCATAAGCCTGTATGTAGTCAAGTCTTAAATACGGTAAAGTCTTATTCTGTCTACAAATGACTTTTTAGCGAAGTCACGCAGGGAAATCCCTCACTGATGCAGTGTCTCTTGAGCAACTTCTAAAATGTTAATAAGCCATTTGTGAGGGTGCACTTTGCCTACTTAGCTACAGTCCTAATCACGTGACAGAAGCTGATGCGCTTTAGCATGTTCGCAACACCGACAAGATGTTACAGGTCAGGGTATTTTTGGAACTCACATCAAACTTTTTGCATCCCCCCTCCTATCTGAAATCTAGAGTTCCTTTAGCTCCTTTAGCGTGTACTCGCAGCATGTTAAGGCCCACAAACGTATCTCTTTTTTATTCCTTCATCTCTTTCATTATCAAAGCTGTGATTTGGCTTTGCTTTGTTATCCTGACCTCATTTCACTCCACTCCCCCCACAACCCGAAGGCAGCAGAATGCGGGATGCGCCGAGCACAGCTTGCTCGCTGTGAATGAGGGAAGGCCGGTTGGCATTAAAAGCTTACCTCATGGATATGATCGTGAATAGAGCGACCATGCATAAACCTTATCCAAGACAGTTAAGTAAGGTCCCCACGTTCTCTTTAACAAACATCACGATGCCACGGCAAACAAGAGCTCGGCAAACAGCGGCCCAAGCTTTTGTACATACCATTCACAGTCTGAAATGTCTGTACAGCATTTCTCTGAGCCCACTGTAGTTAGCTTAATATTCCCCTTTGCTTGCATATCTTTATCTTCGCCCGTCTTATTATGCTTGACAATAATATAATGTACTTGAGACTGAGAAGTAATTGGTGCTGTAAGCCCACCGTGGATATTTGGCCACAACTTTACAGCCTAGATATGACATCGAAGCCATACTTTTAGAGAACAAAAAAAACTAACACTTATATTTAGATATTCTCTTCTTGCACATCACTTTTTTGTGTCGTCTGTAGTGCCGTAAAGAAACAGTGAAGCAACCCACACAGAACATTCATCTCATGCTAGAAAAAAAGAAGATCTTTTCATGAACTGTGATAAGAATCGTCGTAAAGTAGGATTATAGCTTGTCTTTGAGATGATCGCGAGTGTGAAACGTGGCATCGAGAAGTTGGCTTACCCTTCACTGTGTGGCCAGTCAGTGATCACTGTCCTTTCAGGGAGGCATCTGCCATTCAGGAAGCTCTACAAGGCCTCATCACATAATCCAGTATCTTTCTGCCTCATGACTTCTTCGATCCATGATTAATGATGATAATTTATTACTGCTTTTTCTGAATTATGTTTCTGTGACTTTTATGGATACCTATGTTGTTGTGAATTTCTCCGACTGTTGTGTTTCTGATGTGACGGCATGTGAAATCCATATTTGTACATTTTAGACTATGAATTCCCCTCTGTGTATTTTGACATTTCAGTCTACGGTGTGTTGTTCGACTTTCAGAAATGATGGCTGAGGTGAGAATGCACAAGAACATCCCCCTGTATTGTGTTTTCAGCATTAAATAAAAATCGCTGCATACCGCTTTGAACTCGACCCACCTGGTCTTTATTTCTTCTCTAGATTTTTGTCAAAGACAAAACACCTTCGAAGAGGTGAATGCAAAAGTGACTTTTGAATCCTATATACTTTGTACATACATTTCCAGTGAGCATAATGTACTCAGGCAGCTAATCCATTCCAATCAGGAGCTGCATGATGAAATTCGGAGGATTCACTCGGAAATGATCTTCCCGAGTGAATCCTTCGGGGGATGCTAGTATTGCTATACATAACACAAGAGAATGGTCCCTTTGGGTGCTGTTCCAGTTCAAACAGGCTTGTGAATGACACCATATAACACAATTTCCTCATTACAGATCTGGAATATCGGCACTCAATTATCCACAGGGGTAAATAGGGCGCCATGTCTTTGGTTATCGCCTTGACACAAATTTGAAAAATGACGCTCACAAAAAGTTACTGCAGTAATATAACCGTGTCGAGCATAAAAGCAGATCATGCAAACAAATGCATGGAA